TCCCTACAAAAAGCCACAAATATCTGCTTAACAACACTGTGACGTGGCGGATATGACTCGCCACTAAACAAAGTCACTGCCCCTTGCCATACCGGATGATTTTATCCATTTCGTGAACGTTAACCACCTCGTTAACCACCTTCCTATATTGGCAAATTCACAGTAATAGAAATTCACTCAACACGATGACTTACACATGCACTCAAATACATACTACACATGCATGCAAACACATACCAGCATGTACTGATTAACTCGTAACATTTCTGTACCATTACTAATGTTATACACGTTTGTATTACGAGGACCGTGGCTTTGAAGGCGTGTCTCACACCGTCGGGAATAAATCAGTTATTTATTTATATAATACAATATATATAGAATGCAAAACATAATACAAAATACAATGTAAAACCGAAAAACAAATAATCTGATGCCTAGTACCACACTACGCATCGAGTGCGTGAGAGTGTTTGCCGATGACATAAAAATGCTGTATCAACTCATTCAAAGTATATGCAAAAAGAAAAGCTCCGTGGTGAAGGAATAACTGAAAATAGAGTACAGTCGATTCATTCAAACGGTTGTCAGTTTTAAAACCGGATGGGACACTTGGAAGAGCAGTTGAAGGAGCAGGCTGTATCCCGGCGTTTGCTGAGACGACTGAAGTCATCTGGAATTTTGTTACCTGGCGTCAAAATTAGACATGAACAAGAGTTGTTAAAAGGAAACGTGTCACCCGAAACAGATGACATACCAGTATTGACGAAGCATGGTGACGACTCGCTGTTTGAGGGCCTGGTCTTTCTGATACACGCAAAGCGGTGTGTTGAGGAATAGCCTCTGGATAGCGAATAACGAGAAGTATCGCTGTGAATAAATCGTGTGGCAGCCGTATTGTATGCTTCCCAACTTAGGTACTACAATGGCACACTGGTCCTATGGCTCCATGGGTGGAGCAATTTCAAGATCAGTTCAGTTGGCCCCTGCTCTCGGACCTCTTCCTACTCAGGTGATGCAAGACGAGCCATGGACGGTTAGTTTAGAGCCTCCGTCGGAGGCCGAGGTCCAAAATGCGATTACAGACCTCAATCGTTTTCGTGCCACCGGCCGGGATTCCGTCCCACCTGTACTATTTAAGGATGGACGTGAGGTCCTCTAAATAGCATTGACGTCCCTATTCGAACGTATCGGGAAGGAAGTGTCCCGGCTGATTGGAGCGAATCGATTATAGCGGCAATATTCAAGAAGCGCAGTCGCACAGATTGCTCTAACCACAGGGGGATTAGCCTAATGCCAGTTGTGGCAAAATTACTGGCCTCGATTCTCGTACGTCGCCTCACTGTGGAACTGGAATCTCGAAGTAGGGAAGAGCAGGCAGGTTTCCGCCCAGGACGTGACTGTAGAGACCAAATATTCACTCGCGGAAGGTGCTAGAGCAGCGCCACACATACCGCAGACCGACAATAGCTGTGCTGCTCGACTCCAAGGGTGCGTTCGATCCAATCAACCAATGCATTCTAATCGAAATACTTGTGCGGAAAGGCGTTTCCATGAAATATGTGAACATTTAACGTGTCCCATATTCGAACAAGACAGGCCGCGTGACTTGCCGGATGCCTTTCCGACAAGTGGCGTTCGTCAGGGTTGCCAAATTTCCCCATTTTATCCAAGTTTCTCGTGGACTCAATCATGGAGTGCTCCCTTGCGAAATCTCATGATGCAGGCGCTGAGGTGCAAGCTGATAAAAAGCTAGTTGATTTTGATTATGCGGACAATATTGTCCTGCTTTTCAGCGATGCTGGGGCGGCGCGATCAACCTTGAATAACCGCTCTATAGTGGTCCCATCATTTGGCACGCGCTTCGAACGTTCAAAGTGCAAAGTGATGTTACAGGAACACCAGCGTTGATGGCGAGTTGATCAATTAGTAGCTGATCAATTCACCTACCTTGGCAGCTGCATCAGTAACGATGGACGCATAACGACTGAAGTCATTTCAAGCATTGCAAAAGTTAGAACTGCATTTTTGAATCTGCGACATCTGTAGCACCAGAAAAGTGCTCCTCTTGGTATGAAAGACCGCGTTTACAAGTCTACAATGAGAGCCGTCCTACTCTATGAGAGTGAAAGTTGGTCCCTTTGATCTGAGGACCTGCGCATCTTCAAGTCTTTGATCATCGTTGTCTGCGAAACATTGCTGGTGTCGTGGCACCAGTAACAATGATGTGCGCAGGCAAGTATGAGACACTGATAATGCTAGTTCCTAAAAAGGATAAATAGCACGAAATAAGGTGCGTTGGCTTAGGCACGTACTACACATGCCTGGTCGCTGTTTACCGAGGTCTTGTTTTATTTATCAGATATAGGGTGGTGCAAGACCCAAGTTGGCCAGAAATTAAGTTGGCAGCGGGAAATGAAGTCACCGATGGTTAAATTCGGCGCCGTCGGTTCGTTTCGCTTTCCAGGCTACAGTCCACGTGACCCACCTTGTGCTTGGCTTGAGAAGTCCCAGGGCATGGCTCGCAGTCGACATCCGTGGCGTGTCTGCTGCCGTCTCTTAGTCAGACTGATTGCTAAAGTGCGTTTGGTGCCGAGTTATCTGCGGGATAATGGCTGATTATGACACGCGGTAGTAAAAACCGCAAGGAGGCTGTCTTATCGATGCCGCCTTATGCTTGCACGATAGCCAGCTGTTTGTGACGGCATGTTGTTAACATAAGGTTACCCTGAGTGTTTGTTTAGGGCATTAAGGTTTTACGCTAGCACCCTCTTCTCTCCCACATATTGTGCTTCGTTCCGTAGATCACCGTGATTGTACGACAGCAAAGCATCAATTCAAATGACTGGGGTACCGCTGTTGATAATGATGATGGTGCTATAGAAGACGGGATCGGTGAAGACAACGTTAGTAGATCCAATAGAAGAGATTATATTGATCGTATATCTGGATTTCGTTTTGAAACAGCACCACATGTATGCAGATTCTCAGAATTGTCATTTTTCTTCACAAGAAGGCCGCTAGTTCAGATGCTGTCCAAATTTTGGAGACATGCCAGCGAAAACTTGTTCTGTGTTGACTGTCCTCTACCTCCGTTCCTTTTAATTTTCGAGACCGAAATGGCCAGACACCACCGAAGGAAGATGATGGCGCTCGGACTGTAGTCACTATCAATAAGCAATCACTGAGGTGACCGGGCGGTCCGCGAGCCTGAGTAACTACATCACTGCGGCTGAGCCAAACTCCAAAGGGACTACTGCGCGCACTCGCAAGACATTTCGAATGGAAGTGGCTTATTGCAGCTTATTTGCTGTGGGCGTGGCGCACAATGCAACAACGCAGGTTGAATTATTCCATGCAGCGGAGATATGGCCGAAGATAATTTCTAGTCGCGAAAGCGTTCGATACACCACATACCGCAAAGGAAATGCTGCGATCTGCCAGTTAGTGTAGAATAATAAAACCCCCGATAACATAATGAGGTTTCGTCGAACATGAATCAACAAGATTGGGTGAGATGACCTTCGTGTACTTGCCATCGTTCACCCCGGCGCACACCGTCAATCGATAGTATGCCAAGTTTGTGAAGGCCCGGAGTGGTCAGTGGACGATATCGCAAGGGCACGGTAAAAGAGTGACTGGGCAAGAGTGGTCTTGAAACCTTATACTTTTAAGTAACGTTACCTATTTGTCTGAAGGGCTCTACAAGTATATACAGCAGGAAGCTACAGAGCCCAGTTCGGTGATGGATTGTTGCATCTGCGTACGGACGCAGTTTCGCAGAATTGTAATACATAGTAATACTGCAAAAGCAAAAAAAGAGGAAGTGAAACACAGTTAATCCTCATGAATGCAATGGGTACCCACGCAGCTTCATCCGTAGATGTTTAAAGCACCGGCCCATGAACACCGAGCCAATGCCAAGAGCAAGCAAGCGGATTGTTTTGACGTGTAAGAGGAAGAGATCTGAAATGACGGCTAAATTGTTAAAACAACACTATATCATGGTTGCCCACAAATCTAATGCTACCTTTGGAAGAAAACTGTCAAACCCAAAGGATAACCGGAAAGTACAAGAAGGAACAAACGTAGTGTACAAAATTGCAGTAATAGTGAAAAGAACTATGTGGGACGGACAGGAAAAAATTAACAACTCAGATACGAGAACATCAAAGGACTTGCAAGACATTATGCGTCTTCACTGGTCTCAGCGCATGTTGATGAGGGACATGGCATCGGCTGAAACAAAACATGGATCCTAGCAAAAGATGATACACCAAATGTGAGGAGATTCTTAAAAGCATGGCTCTCCTCCAATAATTCGATCAATATGTGCATTGACATCAACCCGCTGTACCAACAACACAGTAATAAAGATCGCCCGCGAATAGAAAAGCAGAGTTCGAAAGGAACCGTGCGACTGACAGTCCGAACGACCGTTTCAGCCACCGGGGGAAATGGGCAAAGGTCACAGGACGAATCGGTGTCCGTTTCAAAAGTCACCTGATCGTCGAAAATGGGAAAACGAATCAATAGACAAGATTGCCCAACACACATAATCGCAATGACGATGCCACTCCGCGTGGGGGCGAAATGTATGCGGACATTTAAGCAAGACCGGCGAACCAATCAACAGATGAGTATCTCAAATCAATTTGTCGAGCACACCTCCAGATGACCCAAGTACTGAGATAAGAGCAGCAGGAAAAATTCCCCTATGAGATGTATCTGTCCCTGGTGCACTCACGAACCGCTACTTAACTGATATGATGGGCCGGATCAATACGGAGTGATTCGAAGACCACGTGGTGATTGTGGCATTGGTTTGCGAGACTCCGCGAATCAGGACTGAATAGCCGCACTGAAGATGTGGCCTAGTTTGGTAACGAAACGTCTGCAACAGAAATGCCCGGCTCGGAGAACAGGACAATCCTCTCATCCCCACCCCGAGCTAAAGGTATTCTCAATAATTTCCAGTTGGAATTTGCCTAACAACTTACCATGCGTATATAAGGCTCCGATGGATCGAATTCAGCGATGGATCGGGACAATTTCGCGCCAATACGACGAGATACCCAATCGTCTAGCAAGGATACACTGGCCACCTGGGAAACAAACAGTGGAAGATAGAGAAAGTATATATATATATATATATATATATATATATATATATATATATATATATATTCACAATCTGATTACAGAATGTGCCATCAGAGCCATGGCTAAATAAAGGGGGAAACGAAATACTACATGCGAAGAAAACGAGCTTTTTCGGCTTTAGACACGCCGTTTTGAGAATTTTTTGTGTTTTGGAGTTTTACGTTCCATGAAACGTTAACTACTAGATAACGCGGTTGAAAAGCACTGTCTCCGCTGATACATGTTGCGCGCCATAGCCTCCAACGTTTCTAACCACTGGCAGTCCGAATCGTGTGTTACTCATCCTGGAAGGCGGACTGGATAGATAGATAGATAGATCAGATAGATAGATTGGACAGATACATAGATAGATTAGATAGATAGGATAGGATAAATAGATAGGATAGACAGATAGATAGTGTCAATGCATAGTAAGTACGCTGATTCCGGCTCCATGTACCAATCTAGATGCGACAAGTGTGCTGCATCGTCTCGGATTTTTCAGAATTCCGAAGCAATCATTTTGTGGTGTCTGTTCCAAGTAAATGCACTCACATGTGTTAGTGTGTCACGTTAAATGCCGAAGTTCATGCCTTGGACCATCGATTGAGCAATTTCGGTGTTTCTGTGAAATCCAACAAGATTTCCTTCAAATTTCGTGTAGGAATTGCCGAAACGACGCAACCAGAGAAAGGAGAGCAAAATCGCAGGCCACCTTATAGGATAAATCATTCTGTTGCGAGTAGCTCCATGTGTTTGCCCACCAAGCTAGCCCGAAGCGCCCCAGGTTTCAGATAAGTTTACCAGTTCGAATTCCCCCCGTTACGAGCAGTGCAGTTTTACCTGACCCGAATCTTTTACCTGTGTTGTATTCAATGAACATACATGGCTCGGTGTGTGAAGACCTGTGTACTGAAGACAGGTGGAAAGTATAAGGAAAGAAAAAGCAGAAAAATTAGGGTTCAGATGATGCAAATCAATGACAGACCGGACCACGTGAAGCTCCGGTAAGTTCTCGCTTTGCAAGGCCAATCTTAACCGACCAGTCGTCTTCACCTTATGATCTCCCAGGCGCCTGAATAAGGTGATCCAACTCCCCAGATACGCTAAGACCACGAGGTCAGGTTTTCATCTAACTTAATTGATAATCTGCTCGAGGTGCGTGAAGACGGGTTGAAAGTGAGGCAAATTACATTCCTTGGAAAGAAATGTGCTCAACATAGTAGGACAATGAGAATTACTCTTTTGGACGAAGTCAGTCCGGCACTGATTTTGTCCAGCCTATGTAGTTGAAAGGCTTAACAATTAATAATCGTGCATACCTGGATTCGGTGGACCAAGAACGGTTCAAATCTGCAATCATTGAACTGAGGAGACAAAATGGCGCTGGGGAAATAAATCTGGATATGGTAAATTTTCGGGTCGTCTCCAAGACTCCACAAGGCGAGATAAGCAGTTGTTCATACTTCGAGTGCGTCCGCTAGTTCTGGCTGCAGTCCGCGCGTAGCCAAAGTTTGCAGTGTTATGAACAAGCGCGAAGAATCCTGCCGATTCGTTGCACTTGAGCGGTCAGTCGTACTGGAACTCGCACAAAGGTGGCTGAATTCTGAGGTGGTTGACCAGCAAATGGCTGGCTTGCCTAACTACCTCTTCGTGATGCCAGCTGGGTGGTTCGGGTGTACCCCGTTCCAGCAAAGTGTTCGACGACACTGTTCCACCTCGGTGGGGCATTGTATTCCAGCAATTGTGCTGATTTCATTGGGAGTAATGGGCCCCTGTTTAATGATCTACCAAACAAAGACGCATGAACTGAACATTCAGTCAGCGTCCCCCAATGGGCGCGATTCCCTAAATTCGCGTCGCTGCCTTGCGGATAGGTTATTTAGCCAAAGGCTCGGGGTCGAGTCCCCTAAGTCAACTCCCTACTTCGGCTTTGGCAACTGGGTAGTATCACGCCCTCTCACAAAACCATGGACTGTATTACAACGTGCTCATCAGCAACTGTTTCTGCTAGTCACTTTCACGCGACTTCATCCCACGCCAATTGTTTGTTTGCTAACAATCCTCACTTTCCGTTATCAGACTCATGTGTTCAACAACCTGGCTGCGATTCCGGTTGCGCAGCGGACACCAAGGAGTTCAACCTATGGCTCTCCTTCGTCCCCGATCCTCGTTCCGTCTGGCCTGCTTCAACGTTCGGACACTCATGCAGATTGGACAGCAAGACGGTCTAGCGCGTACCCTAGAGTCCCTAGACATTGAAATCTGCTGCCTTTCCGAAACTCGGTTGCAAGACGCCCAACACGGAGCTTACATTGACATCGCCCAGTGACCACGAAGCCAGACATTACTGCGTCTTTGTGGTGATCCAGAAGCAGCCTCAACGGCATTGGCTGGTGTAGGTATAGCACTAAGTGGCAAGGCCGAGGCAGCACTATTGGACTGGTTCCCGATTAACAGCCGACTATGGGCAGTTCGGCTTCGGGGCTCATGTAGAAGTAACAGGCACCGCGAAAAGAGACACAACTTGTTTGCGATCTCCGTGTACACTCCAAACGACTGCAGTGGCGACTCGGTCAAGGACGAATTCTACCGGGATCTACATCAGCTCTTGACTAATGCTAAAAAGTCGGATGTCGTTGTCCGGGTTGGCCGCCTGTTACCATAAGAACGCCACCTTGATGGTCATCATGCGCTCGATGAGAACCGCTCTGATAACGGAGAACGGCTTCTCACATGGTGCGGACAACCAGCTGTTTCTCTAGAGCACTAACTTCAGGCGTACAAAGAAGCGTACCGCATCGTGGAGTCTCACTTCTTCAACACAACCGTGGTCACAAATTGATCACATTGCAATTAGCTTCAAATGGCGCGGCAGTGTACTGGACTGCAGGTCCTTTTGGTCCACCTTCGTTGACTCAGATCATGCACTGGTCTGCGCGAAAATCCGTGTGTTTTGGAGGATCCCGAGACACGAAGCACCGCAAGATTGATGTAAACAGATTAACTGATTCCTCTGTCCCGGCGAGCTATCAGTCTTCACTGGCATACGCACTCAGTTGCAATCCACCGAAAGACGTGGAGCAACACAGGACTTGTATACGAAAGCAATGACCATTTCCGGACAGTCATGCTGCGGCCTAACTCGACGCCCCCTAAAGCCTTGGATCTCTACTCGTTCTCTGGAGCTGTTCGAACGCCGCAAAGATATCCCGGGGGAATCAACCAGCGGCGCCGTTTTGCCAACCGACTGCTCAAGCAAAGCCTACGCAAGGATCGCGAGACATGGTGGTCTGAGCGTGCTTTAGAGATGGAGACCGCTGCCCTCTCTGGCAACATTCGCAGGGTTTTCCAACTCATTCGGTCCACTGGCCTCAGGAAGCACGGTGTCAGTGAGGTCATTTTTGAGGTGGATGAGTCTCCGATCACCAACCAACAGAGGCGTATGGACCGCTGGGCAGAGCACTTTCACTCGCAGTTCAACTGGCCTCCATCATCCATCAGTACATGCAGTACACCTTGTTGTCCATCCTCGCTCGTCCCACTGAATCCACCCAGCGAAGCGCAAGTCTTTCTCGACATTCGACGCTTGAAGCGCTCCAATGCTGCCGGCTCAGACGTACTTCTACCGTAGCTAATCAAGTACGGCGGTGTGGAGATCATTAACCAGCTGACCGCGCTGTTCGCAAAAATCTCGCATGAAGAGAAAGTGCCTTCCTCTTGGATCGAATCAGTTATTGTCCCGATTTTCAAAAAACAGGCTCCACTTCATGTGCAAATTATCCAGGGATCGTTCTTATTTCGGTTGCCTCCAAGCTATTGGCATTCATACTGCTTCACAGACTGTCCCCAGTACCTGAATTATACTACTGTGAAGAACAAGCTGGTTTCCGTGCTGGCCGCGGATGCGTGGATCAAGTCGTTATGCTCCGCCAGCTCCTCGAACATCGCCACATTTATCACAGGCCCACTATCGTTGCATTCCTAGACATACGTGCCGCTTTTGACTCCGCTGATCGACCTGCTTTATCGCGTTGCTTGCTAAAGAACGGGGTGCCAGAGAAATATAGCGCCATCTCACGAGCACTTTACCTTCATACATCCGGCAGAGTGAGGGTCTACGGCAAGCTTTCCTAACAATTCGCTGTCAATAACGGTGTGCGACTGGGCTGCCCTATGTCCCCATTCCTCTTCAAGTTCGCAATCGAAGACGTTCCGTCGAATGCTCTAGAAGGTTACCAACATTTTGGTCTAGAGCTTCTACCTGGTGAGCGCGCGACCGACTTAGAGTATGCTGATGATATCGCCTTACTTCGTGACGATCATCAGGGTATGCAACTCATTCTGGATCGTTTGGCGGTTGAAGCATCTAAGTATGACATGAGCTCCGCACCATCGAAGTGTAAAGTACTGCTCAAGCATTGGCTTTCACCTGCTCCCGTGCTCACTCTCGAAGGTGCACAACTTGAACAGGTAGATAGTTTCGTCTACCTTGGGAGCTGTGTTTCTTCTGACAACACTATCAACAAAGAAGTTTCTCTTCGTATCGCTAAAGCTCGATCAGCATTTGTCAATCTGAGGCACTTGCGGCGTCGTCGCGACGTCTCATTCTCGCTAAAGGGCCGCGTAAACAGCGCATCAGTTCGCTCAGTATTGTTGTATGAGTGCGTCCTGGCCGATTCGCGTGGAAAATATGCGTCGTCTTTCTGCCTTCGATAACGGTTGCTTAAGGAGGATTGCTCGTGTTTGGTGGCAACATCGAGTTAATAGTAATGACGTTCGACGTCGCATCTTGAGGAATGAGAGTATTCCCTTTAACAAACTGGTTTTGTTGCGCTCGGTCACGTCCTACGCATGGCACCTGAGCGTCTACCGCGTCGCGCTCTATTCGCTCGTCAAGGATCTGGCTGGAGGCGACCGCGTGGTGGTCAGCCTTCCACTTGGCGGCAGCACATGAAAACGC